ACAACTGCCGAACACCCTGCTCTTCTAGACCTGGAAGCACATCATCAGTCTGAAAATAGGTCAAAAGATGAAAGGTTACGTCCAGTATAAAACTTCTCATCCTCCCTATACTTTCACGAAATTCAACTTTATAAAACATAACACTTCAACCAATCATGATATATAAATTAGCATATTCATTTTCTTTCGGAGAATAAGACTCAACTGTCGGCAACATTAACTTCAAAAATGTTATTAACAATATCAGTACATCGAGGTAATTGGAAAAAGAAAAAGAAAAAAAACAAATGAAGATTTATAATTCAATAGTAGAATTTCCATAAGCACTCTGGGATCATCAAGCTATGATGGCATTTGTAGTACACCATTATAAATCCTTAGCAGTGAGTAAATCATGAACACATCACACTTTGAGCTAAATCTCATTCATTTCTATGTTAAAAATCAATTGCAACATCCTAACTCCTAAACAGAACTAGTTTATTATCCACAAAAAGAAAAAGAAAAAAAAAATGCTACATTTATGTAGAAGCCAAATAAATATTCTTGAGAAAATGCCACGAGTAATTCCATCCATGGAAGGTATGATAATGGTAAAATAATTAAGTGGCAGCTTGACATCTCACAAAGTTCCATTTAAAAAGGAAATCAAATTATATGAAAAGATAACCTCAACAAGAAAGACTGAAAGCAAATGGGACACAAATGGGTAGACTCATGATTATATGCAGTCATCAGAAAATCAAAACACTTAACAACTGACACCCAAAAATATCAACGTTCGGACCATCCCTCAATGACATAAAACACACACCAATATTCATATTAGCTTTACAAACACCACACTGTCAAGGGGAACAAAATAATCTCATCCCAGACACAATCTCAAATATACAAGATAGTTCTATGATGTTATTACAAGTTACAACTAAAAGGCCAGTGATCTTAATTTAACGAATCCTGAATGTTACAAAAATTAACCAACGAGATGCAACTTACAACTGGAACTGATTTTTGTACAGATTAACTGGGTTCTAACTACAAAGTTATTAAGGTATAATCTACACCACTAATACCTTCAACTTCACCTTTATTCTAATATTCATGATTAAGACACACAAAA